CAGCTGAGAATGAAGCCAGGATTTGCATTTTGCTTGGGCTGTTGGTGTTTGTTTTCATTTGAAACTCCTTCCAGAAGGGATCTTTTTTTTTTTTTTTTTTTTTTTGTCAGAAAGCTTACATTTCAGCAAATCCCGTCCAGGGACAGGGAGGAATGTCACATCTCAGATTTCTGATCAGCCCAAGGATTTTGGCAAAGTCTGTAGCTGAGTCCAAGCAAGCCAGTTGGAGGGACACAGAGGGTTGATTCCCTCTACTCTCTACAACCCATGTTTGACCAATTTCTTGCCCCAGATCTCCTACCAAAGGCCATCACCCACAGCCAGAGAGCTGATCCACAGCTGGCCCAGTAGCTCTGCCCTGCGGTGATGCCCATGTGCTAAAGGTTGTATTTCAGCCAGGCCATACATGAGTGCTTTCTTCTACCCAAAATGCCAGGTAAAACTCAAGCTCTGTTTTCCCCAGAGTTTCTCGATATCACTGATGAGCCCATTATCTACAAAACTTTTTGTCTTTCCAGTCCAGGGAGGGAACTGAATGAAGAGGCGATGCTTTCACTGTGAATTGCTACCTAAGAAACCATCCAAAACTTTGGCCAGCAGGACGCACCATGATTTGTCCTGGCCTCAGTATGATTAGTGGGAGCCAATTTCCAACCACTGCATGCTAACCTCTCAAAACCAGAGCATCCCTTTGGGCTGCTGGTGCTTTATTCCCCTGGTGCTTTGGGAAGCAGGTTGAGGAACAGTTGCTGGGATGTTCCACCTCCCACCACAAGGACAGTCAGCAGGACCTGAGCTGTTGGCCTGGAGTCAGGGGTCAGCACTGGCACAGTGAGGAAGGGATGCAGCCGATGGAGGTGTCCTGGCCTCTGTGAAAGGCAAAGCTGACCTCTCCTTGCTCTCTCCTCCCACTGCAGTACTATCTCTCTGATGCCGATTTCCACGATATCTTTGGGAAGTCCAAGGACGAGTTCTACCAGATGCCCAAATGGAAGCAGCAGAACGAGAAGAAGCAACGTGGACTCTTCTGAGATCACAGGGGCCACCCGGCATCCAGTGACACTGGGACCAGAGCTCACTTTCTCAGGAGCTGCAGGGAAGAAGTACAGACGTTTGCTCAATGAACCCAACCCAACATCTCAATCAGGCCAGTCTCCAACGTGGTTGTTCCAGCAGCCACTGTTCAAAGGACGGCTTCTTTCTCCCTGCAAACCCTGAACCTAAGGAGGCAGGAACATTCCTTCTGTAGGAATGACTTTGCAGGATGTTTTTGCCTCTTTTTTGACACTTTATTGCTGATAGCCATGAAGACAAGTGTGTGTCACACAACCATATTGTAGCCTCTTCTTTCCTCTCCCTTTTGCAAATTGACACATGCACGAGGTCATGGTCTTCCTTCATTTATTGTCTAGCTGCTGTGTAAATTCTGGGTGGGGAGAGGAGGGGGAAGCCCTGGGAGGACAGAGAGGGAGCCTTGAAGTCAGGAAAAAGGTAGTGGAATAGCCAGATGTGTGATGGGGTAGCCCATGGGGTGACATCAGCCAGTTCTGCCCTTTCTCACCTTGCAGAAAAACTACTCACCAAAGAACGGCAAGAATCAGTTGCAGATTCACATGCACAGCCCAGTGCAGGTAAAACAAATGAGAACCTGGCTTGAAAAAAACCCACTTATATTTATTACCTGGTCTATTTCAAGAGGATGATGAGATTTAGGTCTAAAAAGAGCTGTGGATTCTGGTTTTTTCTTGTTCCTACAGCATCTCCAATCTCACCCAGCCTCCCTGAGCACAACCAGCTGACCATAAGAGTCCACCTGCCCACACACAAGAGGCTTGAGGAAGCCAGGAGGGCTTGGGGTATGAGCTGAGGCAGAACACGTCCCACTGAAGGTTTTATCAGGGCTCCATCCCTGTGATGTCCGTAGGGCTGAGAGCACTCGTTCCACACTGCAAGCTCAGTCTGATTGGGGAGGGCAAGAGGAAATGTGAGCAACCAGTGATTAAGGGATACAACTGTAAACTAAAGAAGAAACACATGTGTTTGTTTAAAAATTCAGAGGATGCGGTTTTGCAGCTTTACTCCGTTTCCCACCTGATCAGTGACTCCAAACAAACAGCCAGCAGCAGCACTGTGTCATTGATCAATATGTGGGGTAGGATGGCAATAGAGAAAAGCTCTGCAGGGCCACAGATCCTTCAAACACCTGGTCTTTAAGGGGATTTGGGATTTTTTTTGGAAAAGAAAAGAACGATCTGAGAAGGTGTTCTGTTCCCAAAGACCACACAGCAGGACCATTTGTCTCCTCATGCCCATGTACTCTGCTCCTGAAGCCCCCCCATTGCCCATGAACAGGGGTACTTGGCTGCTCAGCAGTTGGCCTGACTGCCCAACCCTGCTGCAAGGATGTGGGGATGGAGCTGGGGAGCTGCCTGTGGCTGTTGCTTGAGGAGCAAAAGGCTCTCCCTCCACAGCCGGGACCATGCAGTAGTGGTGAAGTGTCACCATCTGTCTGGGCTGAGGGCAAGGACCTGCAGGTGATGGGGTCTTCTGGACAGATCTTTGTGTTTAAGAATTGGTAGTTACTTCAACTAAGCCACAACCACATCATTACCTCCATGTTCCTGCCACAGCTTTGTCCCATTTCTGCTTGAGGATCCAGCCCCAAACCTGTTGAAACCCCCCCATGCAGAATAAAGTCAGAGTCAAACAGAGATACAAATCAGCCGAATTACCTGCGTGATTGCTCCTGTTGTGTTCACGCTGCATACAGTCAGTGCACATTATCCCCATTTCAGCCTCCGTTGCCACTGCTGGAAGCAACAGTATTTGCATCTCCCCGCTGCGGCATGCTCCTCCCAGCTCCCAAATTAACGAATCTCATGTGCTCCTCCATAAAACACAGCCGTGCCACCTATCCTCTCTGACCGCGGGCCTAACGAGCATCGTGCAATCAAATGGAGGCCAGCGGAAATATAGTCAGATTAGGGAGATTAGGCTGGTTTGCTACAAATTACTTTAATTTCTGCTGCCACGATGCTCACCAACACACGAGTGGAGCTCTCCTGCCAGGACTCGGAAACCAGCATGGGATTTTACAGATCCTTCTGATATTTGGAAACTGCTGCTGCTCTTCTCTCGTGGGGAGAGTTGGTTTTACTCTCTGCCTCTGATTTCTAAAGGAAAGATTTCCCCCCGCCTCCATCCTCCCTTTCACACCACTTGCCACTTTCGCTGTGGTGTCTGGTGGGCCATGTCCTGGTTTTGCTGCTCTTTTCACCAGAGCTCGTCCCTTTTCCACCTGGCTCCAGTAGTTTTCCCCCAGCTGTGCCTACCTGTTGAGGGATGTTCTCTCTCCCCATGGATCTTCCTTACCTTTATTTAAGTGCACAACAGGCAGAGGAAACTCTGGCCTCTCTGTGTAGTCCACTTAAGCCCACCCTGACCCTGGGTAGTGGGGTCCTGCTCCCACATCTCTCCCCACTCCCTGTCCCCCACTTCTCTAGTGCTGCCCACAGCCGGCAGGTAAGGGCTGGTTTAGCTCAGTAATCCAACTGAAATTGAATCCTGAAACACCAAAGACACAAATAATTTGTTCTCAGCCAACTCAGCAGGCTGAGCCGACTCGCCCCACAAGGGCTGGTGCTGACAGGAGCGAGGGGGCAGGAAGGCCTCTGGTCGTGCCTGCTCTCAGGTCACATGGTGCAGGCTCCCAGTGTGGTACAGGGCAGTCCTGGGTATCCTTCGTTCATGCTTTTTCTCCTATGGCTCCTTAAAACTAAATGGTCAGAGCATCCTGGGAGCAAGGACCAAACTCAGGCTGTCTCTGAGCTGGAGTCAAGAATCCTCCAGCCCTGGCCTTCCAATGCATCTCCTGATACAACGTGTGCCATCCCAGAGGTGAGCTGAGAGAGAGCCCGTGTCACCGCCAGACACCCTGTTCTGCCTCGGTGGCCTCTGCCACTCCTGAGCTCTTTCAACCACCGGCTGTTAATTCAATACAAGCCTTTGAGCTGTGGATATAATTCGCATTTCATCTGTCAATGGTTTACAACATCACAGCAAAGAGGAAAACTCAGTGTGCCCAGCAATGATTACTGCAGCGTAACAAACTCCAGGTAAGCCTAGATGAAACCCACTTTTGCAGATCACTAAATCCAGGCTATTTTGGACTCAAAATTAGATGGGAGAGTGAGTGGACTGGAATTTGTTTAAAAGGACATTAACCTCTTTGGTAGCAGCCTGCCCTCGCCACCACTAGGCATGAAAAGCCCCAGAAAGACTGACAGTTTTAAGAATTTAAGCAGGTCTATCTCCAACATCATGCGTGTTGCATTCAAGTAAGACAAAGAGGCAAACAGGGACAAGTAATTGGACTTTTCTAGATTTTTTTACTTTTAATAGTCTAACATATTGTCAGTAACATAATTGGCACTTGAAAATATATATTATTTTATTTCAACAATATTCCCTTAATTCTGTAGTTGTACTTGAAGAAAAATCACTTGTTGCTATAAATATTGTGTTGCTGTTCAAAACACTCTTGTCTGTTTGTGCTAGGCTACCTCTACAGTGCGACTGGGACTAGGCTAACATTTACAACAGTTTCTACTGCCACTTCCTCTGTGTTAAAAAATGACACTTTTCTATAAAAACACAAAGTTTTACTGCATTAAAAAAAAAAAAACCCTACTGTCATTTGAGCATATTTCCACTGCATCGGCAAAAGACGTTCTCTGAGGTCCCTTTGAGTGGGTTTCACTTTGGGTTAGAGGGAAATCTGCTGTTCAGCAGCTTCTTTTTCCTTCACAGGATGAGAGCCAGGCTTTGAATGCAAAGCGGCCTGGCCGAGAGCCAGGCACGCAGGCAGAGTAGTGTTCATGTATTTTTTATTATAATACAAAAGGAAAGCCGGGTTATATAACACGGGCCTCTGTAGCACAGCTTTCTTTTTGAATCTGTAACGGAAAAGAGGAGAATCGTGTCCCTGTTTAAGACTTCATATGGTGAAAGATGGCTGACAGCTGAAGTTGCAAGAAGTCACCTGGCGTCTGGCCACTGATTTCAGTGGTGGGGTGGATTTTTGCTTGCACAGACGTTGGGTGTTTTGTCCAGATGGCTGACCGAACCCAACCCAAGAACTGTACTTTGCTAAAAAGGAGTCCCTATCCTCCCACTAAAAGCAAAATTTAAAAAATCACACTAAATAAAGTGAACTAAAAACACAGCTGGATTGATCGAACAGGTACAAAAGGATTAATCTCAACAGCAGCGTTAGGACATTTCCAGCACGCAGAATGGAGAAGGTCGATGGCTGTTTCACATCGGGGTCCAAGTGCTGCACCAGAGAAGGCACTGGGGATTTGATGAGAACCTGACATTGGCAGACTGCAGACACTGAATTCCTTCTAGGTCTATAACGAGGTTCACTGTGCCCTGAAAGAGCTGAGCTGCTAATCACAGTCCTGGATATTGATGTACACAAAGAGGGTGGAGGAGGAGTACGGGTCTCCATTCTTGGTTAGAAGATGGATGTGGCGGTAACCTGGAAGCACAGACACAGATGGAAAGTGGCCTTTAGTCCGGTTGGACAAATATTTGCCAACATTTGCCAAGACCCTGCAAAAACATCTCCCTGTCTCCGAGCTCCCAGTACCCCTCAGAACAGGCAGGTCTGAGAGGCATGGCTTTGAGCACTGTAATGCATCATGCCCAAGGCCACTGGTGACAAGGGGATCCCTTCCCCAGAGACAGTGTTAACAGCTGCCCAATAAACCATTTATCATCTTGCCCATACCCCAGAGAGAGAACCAGTTCTGACCCAAGGTGTGATGGGTCTGGACCTCTCATGTAGGACACCGAGGCTCAGAGGGCTCAGCTGTTGTGAGGAACAGGGAGCAGGGCCTTACCTTGCTTCAGACTAGTGAAGGGAAGGGTGTACTGCCCGATGAAGTCGTTCTTGGTTGACATGTCAAAGTCTTCCACCACAAATCGGACCAGGGCAAGTGCAGGGATCTCTATGTCAAATGTAAACTCTTCGTCCCATTTTGGGTTAAAGCCTGGGTAACACAGACAAGGATGGAGATCAGAGCTGCTCACAAGCAACGAAGGAAGTGAGAGATGCTCCCAAGCAAGGATGGAGGTCAGAGATGTTGACAGACAAGGATGGAGGTCAGAGATGCTTGCAAACGGATGGAAGGAGTTTTTGCCTGACTGCCAACCTATCCTGACCCATGCCAAAGGTCTCAGGAGGTGCCGAAATCATTGTTCTCAGTTCTGACACTGATTTGCTACCTGGTATTAATAAATCCTTCCGCTTAGACTGCTCGCTGCAGACCTCAGCACCACAGTCCCAGAAGACAGTGAGCAGCAGGAGAGAGGTGAATTCAGCTCTGCTCCACAGGAACTCGCTGGCTGATACATGGATGTCTTTGCTTGCCATTGGACTAGCTGCAAATTTACAGCCCTAAACCAGGGGGGAGGAGAAAGGAGAGCTGTGCCTTTGTGTCGTGACAGCCTGCTGGGGCCTTAAGGTTCACTGAGTGCTCAAGGTACACCTATCTGTCACCACTCTGTGCCTCAGTTTCCCTGTCTGCAAGAAAGGTTTATGAGGCGTGTCTGATTACAAAAAGCATCATGAAGTCTGTGGACAAAATGTTTTATGTCTCCTTGTACAAGGGCAGTGTCCAAGACAGCCAGACTAGCCCTACTTCTGTTATGGGTGCGGGTCTTGTGGTCCGGACTCACAACGCAAACAAAACCCAGACCGTCACATCAGACGAGAGATGAAGAGCGAGCTCAGTGCTCTCACTCAGGTCACAGCAGATGCCCTCTGCAGTTTCCATAAGCCACACCCCAGAAACAAACAGGAGGAGAGGACATCCTGTTCGAAACCCTGCTGCCATCGGCCCAGCCTGTGCAGAGCAGAAGCCCAAGGACAGCAAAACGTCAGCTCAAGCCGGCTGGTCATGGACGGTTCGGCAGGAGGTGAGAATCTTTCAGCAGGGCCTGAAGGTGCTGAGACAGGCCTGTGGACGGTGCCATATTCAAATACCTGTGCTGGGCCAGTGCACCTTATTTGGACTTTCATAGGATTGAATCGACTGGACTGTTCAGATAACACACATCTATCTGCTCTTGACCCCCTTCATCCTTGGGAGAAAAGCCGGTTGCTGATCCCATGGGAGCAGGAATCATGAAAGCTGAGGGAAAGTCATAGGCCCAAGGACAGCAGGTTTCACTGTGCTGACATCTAGAGGAGGTTTTCAACCCATCTCAGAGCCATAGTGAGGTGCTCAGAGCTGCTGAGCCAGCAGGTTCCCAAAGCCATTCAGGCTCCACGGCTGCACCGCTGTGACCTGATCCGTGCCCACCACCCCTGCTTCAGTCCCACCAACACAGAATGATAGAATCATTTAGGTTGGAAAACACCCTCATCTTTGAGTCCAACCCTAAAACATCAAACCAGGTGAGCTGCTGAAGCGTGGTCACATATCTGAAACTTCAGCCCATGGAATGCAACCCCTTCTCTGCAGCTGCCCCTTTCCGACATCGATGTTTTCATCATTTGATTCACTTTACATGGGGCAACGCTTCCTCCAGCATCCCCCCAGCATGCCTCCAGCACTGCTCCAGTATCACTCCAGCCAGCCAAGGGCTGGCCATGGGGCTGGGTGTGCTGAGCAGCCCTGAGGAACAGGCCTTGCAGGTGTGAAACATTCCCTACGCAGCTCTCACTCGAGACACCATGTGAATTATTGCAGGTGACGGAAATGGCCGTGAGCTTTAGGAGCCACACCAGATTTACTCAAACAGGAAAGAGGAAAAGGGAAACATTGCCAGCAGGGAGGAAACTACGTACTGGCTTTCGAGCGCTTGGCTCTTACTCCACACAGAAAAGCAGTGTGAGTGTGTGTGTGTGTGTGTGTACCCATGCGTTTGCCAGTGGGAGGGTGAGGACTGATTTCTCAGACCCCTACCGCCACGTTACTCTCACAGGACAGAAGAGGGCTGAACTTGCCCTCTGCAAACTCAGAAGGCCACAATAATGAGACCCTCACTGCACAGAGGGAAATCACAGCCATGTTTGACCCATGAGAAATGGTCCACAGGGAGGTGAAACGTCTGTGAGATCTCTGAGGTCAGTGCTGGGTAAGGCGTGAGGCCGGCTTTTTGGAGACGGGAGCTGATGGCTTTCACACCTCACCTGTAACATCACTGTGATGTGCATTAATTTAGCACCAGTGTCACTTTGGCCAAGAGGATGAGCAGATGCAGTGTCCCTGCCTCGTGAGGAGGCTCTGAGCTACAGGAAAAGTTCTTCTTTTGCCCAGACTGTGTCGCATATGAGAAGAGGCTGAGAGAGGTCGTTATTCCACCTGGAGAAGGCTAAGGGGGTTATTATTGCAATCCTCCACTACCTCCTTATAGAGAAGATAGAGCCAGGCTTTTCTGACAGAAGCACAGCAAAAGCTTGATGCATAATGGGCACAAACAGCAACAGGGGAATTTCTGGTTAAGAATAGGGATATCTCATTTTACTATGAGGTCAGTCAAAGACCGGATCACTTGAAAGAGAACTCAGAGAGTCTGGGGAATCTCACTCTTTTGAGATATTCAAAATTCATCTGGGCAATACCCTGAGCAACTTGAGTTACCTTTGAGTATGGTCCTGCTTTGGGCAGTGACTGGAACAGGCACTTCTAAAGTCCCTTGCAACCTCAATCTTTTGTGAGTTTGTGACACTTTCAGGATAAAATCAACCTCACAAGAAGCCTTCTTTGGGAAGATTTTGGTGGGGACCCATGCATCCCATGTCTAGTCTGACTGCATGGAGGTAAAGAACACCTCCAAAGCTCTAGCTCTGCAAATTTGGCAGCGAGCCTTAAAACAACTCGTACGGCTGATGCTGATTTGCAGGGAATTTCTGTCTCCAAACAAAGAGAGAAGAGAGGAAAGAAGCCCTGAAAGTAATTCTCCATAGGGACAGCAGTCTGTGGGGTTAGTTCATGCCACCAGCAGCCTATAATGAGGATCCCTACACTGAAGCAGGCCAACAGCACCTCCTGTATCTGCTTAGCGTGGGCAGGCATGGGTGCACCTGGGAAGGTCTGGCCCCAGGGCAGCAGCCTTGGCAAGGAACACTGCTGCATGAAATGAAAGAGTTACTGCCCCATGGGAGACAGCATGGAAGAAAATGCCTTACCGTTGTTTTCGATGACCTTGGTCTGCTTCTTGTTGTTATCCTGTTGGACGCCGTGGATCTCTACTGTTACCTTAGGATCGACGATGGAGTTTTTGCTTTTGTTCACCTTGGGCAGCTGCTGACCAGAGATGATCTGTGGAGGAAACAGAGGAAGAGGTCAGGACATCATTAGGAGAGGGGGCTCCCTGGCAAACTTCCCTCTCCTTTCCAGGAGTGCAGGACCTGCTATGACAAGCTGGTGCTGGTCTTTCAGAGCCAGCGTTGTAACATCCTTCAGAGGAAGTTGTTGTGAGCCAAAGCACCTAATGAACATTGCTCCAGCCCAGCCAGCTGGCTAGGGGGACAGCAACTTTTCTAACTGTCCCCAGAGTGATCAGATGATACTTGGAAACAACAGTGGTGACTGTTGACTGCACTTCTCCCTGTACGTTTCTGTAACGACAGTGAATATTGTCATTAACCTCTTCTATTGCTGAACATTAAATCTGTGAGTAAGTCCCTGGAGGATGAAAGCCCATGCAGGACTGAAGCAGAGACCCCAGTGGTGGGAAATGAGAAGGGCTGAGATAACATTGCCCGGGTGAGACCAGAAGGAGAAGGTACAACCTACACACACACACACCCCCGCCGAAGGTGGATGCTACTGAGACATTTTCCGACTTCTATTCTTACTTTAAGCAGAAGCTTCTTCTTTGTCCCCCATGTTCCTTCTGTGATGGATTTTGGATTGAATTTGGTTTGCTCATCCCGGAGGAATTCCGGCTTTAAGACGTACCCAGAAAACCCATTGTCCTGGAACCGACCCTGGTAGACATCCATTTCTGTGCCTGCTGTCTGGAAATTTAGGGCAACTGCAACATAAATAAATAAAACCAGTCACTTCCAGAGAAATCAATGGGAATATTTTTATACTAATTGTGTTCACATGAAATTGCACTTCATGGACATAAACATTGGCTTTTCCATGCTTCAAAGAGCAGTGATAAACTCTGACCCTCACAGCCCACTACCCCTGAGGATTTCTTGCATTCAGAGATTTTAGAGACAGGAGGAGCCGTTACAATAACGACCGTCTCATTTGTCTTCCCACCTTCCACAGGACCAAAAAGTGTCCTGTGCTGAATTTATGTCACCTGGTGGAGCAACTGCATCTTTTAGATAAACCTACCCATTTCTATTCTCAAGGAGTTATATCTCCTGCAATGAAGCCAGTAAATCCTTCTCAGATTGTTTCTGCAGCTGCATAGCCTCATTACAAAACCTCCTTTCCTGCCCAGATATTCCTATTTTCACTTGCCATCCTGAGGGGCATTGATGCCTCTCTTGCTTATAGAGAGCTCCTCACTGTCTGAACTCCTCGTGTAGGAGTACAGAAGCTGTGATCAAGTCATCTCTCTATTGTCTCTTGCCCAAAATAGATGAAGCCTCACTGGTGTCCTACCACCGGGCAGATTTCTTGTATTTTTTCCGACATGCCACTATCTTTTTAAAAGCATTAATGTCAAATCTGGAAGCAGTCTCTGTGAACAGTCTCACTAATACCACACAGGGAGAGCACATGGACCCCAGCACCTCCTCAGTACTCCATTGATCTCTGAAGGGTGATGTGAACCCTCTTTAGCAACTTCTAAGACAGCTCTAGGACAGATGGCAGTTTGTGATGGTCCTACGTACCCTGTAATATCCAAAGGCCAAAAGTATTTTAAGGCCCTCCCCTGGTTTTCCATTTACAAGCAAGGCTTTAATAGCTGCAGTCTACTGGTTTTACTGGGAGCTGCAAGTACTCAGGGCTTCTGAAAAATTCTTGGTTTGGGTGCCTGAATACTGAATTCAGGTTAGATAAGGCATGCAGGCCTGGCCTTAGTGTACCCTGAGGGACCTGATGTTGTCTCCCAGGGACTCTCCTGAGGCCAAACTCAATGCTGTGGAGATGGGACAACGGGTGCTGCTTGTTCCCCCACAGGGGCTGCAGGAGTTCATATGCTCCCAGGCACACACAGACCATGCAGGTCTACACAGTTGGGGGCCAGGGAGCCTTGCATCTGCAGATTCTCTTTTCTGGCTGGGCCACAGGCACAACTAGGACATCTCCAACATCCAGCATCACCAAGAGAACCAAGCATGTCATCTCCAGCATGCCCGCTTACCACTACTCTAGGTTTCTTGGATGAGAGCTACAACATAATTCACTTAAAGGGCTCTGGGACCCTGGTCTTCATCAAACCTCTGAGACGTCAATTTATCTAGGAGTAGGTATGATGTGCTGCTTGGACTACAGGGAACAGCTCAGGTCACAGCTTGGCCCTGATGGTTATGGCCTTGCTCTAGGGCACTAGAGAGCTGAGTGTGATTTACATCTCCGCCAGAGATTTCAGCACACTTTTCTGTAAGTGCCTGTAACTCCTGGCTCCCTTGTTCTTTGTTAAATGGCAATAACTCTGCTTCCAGTGAAATCACACAGATGTGCACATTGATATGCAGAAAAGGCTCCCCTAATGGTTTTAAGGTGGGCCAGAAAATGGTCTATGAAAAGCCACTGAGCATTGGCAGAAGAGCTGGTCTGTCCAGTGACCCCTTAGCCTCTCTGCCTGCAAATGGCTTGAGAACACACATCTACCTCAACTGAAGCCCCTCCATAGCCAGGTCGTGAGTGACCCAGCCAGGTTGACCCTCTCTGACCTCCCAGTTACACCCACCGATCTGGCAGCCGACATTCCACAAGTCGACGGGGTTGTAGTTTGAAGAATCTGTCCTCCAACCTGCAGGATAGATTCGGCTCAGGTGCCTGATGTTGTGGTGAATAAAACTGGTTCCTATAGAAAAAAAAAAAAAAAGAAAATGTCCCCGTCAGTGATGGGGGCTACTTTTATCTTTTCTTGATGCTGCTGTATATACTACTCCTGGCTGAATGTGAACTACCTCTATAAAATGCCCTTTTTGGTAACAGCCTCTATGATATTAAGTTATTCCCACTGTTTCTCGGTGACATGCATGACCAAAGAGATCATAACCCATGTCTTTCAGGATGCTTTTTCCTCATACTTAACCACCACCAGCTGTCCCTTTATGGGGGACTGGGACAGAGGATGGCCTTTTGCCAGGGCAAAACATACGTACCGGACTCCTGGGCTAGTTTCAGAGCTTTGCTCTCTGTGAATGATGACATCTCATAGAAAGCCCGAGGATGACTGGGGTCCTCAAAGCCGTTGAAATGGACACTCTTGCAGTAGATTACTGTGTCTGACAGCTCCTTGGCCAGCTTCAAGGTGTCACTCTAAAAGCAGGAGAGCAACAGGTTTGTGAGGAGTTTCTGCAGTCATACTCAAAAGTAATAATCATGTTTTGCCTAGGACCCCTGGAGCTTCTCTTCTCCACCGCCTTCACATGAAAAGGATGCACACTGTCAACACTCAGTGGCACCCCTATGCAGAAAGAGGGTGGAAAAGGGGCAGGCTGCCTTTGCCATGTCTCTTGCCCTGCATGGAGAGTGCTACTCCCTCCTCTCAGATCATCACTGCCCTCTCAGGCACGTCCTGGCTTGTCCAGTGATATCACTGACTTCCCAAGTGTTACTTCCAAGAATATTTCATTTCACCTGGGCCATACCTCTTTCTGCATTTATTTGCATGTTATTACGTGAATGAGTATTTCAGCTTGGCTATCACAACTCACAAGCAATTAGGGCTATAAACACAGTAGCAACCAGCCCAATCAGCCTGTACTGGTTAGCTAAGAGAGGATTTCACACAGCAGATGCTTTGGTGTTCCAGCAGCCCTTGTTGCATGGTGTTCTCCAGGTGGATTCTCTCTTTGTTGGTGGGAATATCCTTTCTGCTGCCCTCTGTACGATCATGTATTTCAGCATCAATGGCTGTCTCCAGTTGCTAAACTTTACAACAGAGCCTTAGCAATGAGTTTTCTATACTGTCCCGGTCCCAAGCATGCAAACCCAGAAATAAGGGGAAGGGAAGGATGTTGGTTTGGCCTCCACAGAGCTTGGGTTTTTTTTCCTTGAACTAAGAAGTTCTCACAATGCTTTGATGCCTCCTACACCACAGCCATTTTCATTGGTGCAAGGGTGAAGTGAGAGCCACCTGCTCCCATCAGAGGAAAGAAAAGGAAATGACAGACTTCAAAATCATACACATTATTGACTACAGTTCAGAGAAAGAAAAAAGATTCTCAAAGAGTGAGTAAATCAACAAGGGGAAGCATAGATCAGACCAGATCCAGAGGCAATGTCAATCAATCAGCTTAGCCATCAGTGGGACTGACTGTATTTATATCACCTATGAACCTAGTCCATAGGGGATATGGCCTTCACAATGATCTGCAGTCTGGAAAAATGGATGTCCTCACATGAGGGAGCAAAATACTGGTATAAAGGCCAGACTTTTCCCTCCAGAAATAGTCATCCCAATTGCTTTGGTAACTGGCCACCCCTTCCCCGTAGATCTGTAGCTCTTCCCTCCCTCCTCCAGGTCAGAAAAACATGGACAGTGAGGGTGCAGGTACGTCCCAAAATATGACTAAAAAAGCACCAGTCTCTGGTAATAACCAAAGTTATGATGGTCCCATGGCAAATAGATTTCTGGAAAATAGAGACAGATTGAACATGTGTCCTTCCACTGCTCCCATAAATGCTACATGGTTTGTCCTAACTGCAGGGCTGTCCAGCCTCATTTTACGGAAAGAAGACAACCTTCATGCTTGGCTGGCTCTGCAAGATCTCTGTTTGTGCTTGGGCAGAGAACATTAAGCTGAGCAAGGACCAGGATCCTTAGCTCCAGTGATTTCAACAATTCTCCCTTAAATATCCCCAGCTGAGTAGCTGAAACCACACTGAAAACTATCTTAGCTGGGAACATATTAAAAGTACATTTCAATTGCTTTTCCTTTTTCTCTTTTTTAGGCATGGTACAAAACCCACCTAGATAGTGGTTTCCCAGCATGAGTCATGGGATAGGCTAACAAGACAGGATTTACTGATGCAGGACTTCAGAGCCTTCTGTAATAGGCAAAGAACTTGTTTACAGCTTTTCTGCCTCTCTATGTCTGCCTCTTTTCAGTTACTTCTTTTACTTACCTTCCCCTTCTGCTGTATCTCGGTCTTTACAGATTCATCTTCGATTTCAGCTGCTTCGTCTTCATCAGAGACATCCTCAGCCTCCAGGTTGTTGTTCCCATTTGTTTCAGCGGGGTCCTCCTGCCTGCTCAACTTCTTGCCTTTCACAAGGATCTTCCCTTTCAATTGCTGCAGAAGGAAATGTGGACAAAATAGCTGGTGATTAGAATAGGTTCTGGCCCACCCTGAAGGAGCAAGGATGTGACAGCTCCTCAGCTGCAACCAGGGCCAGGGACTTTTAGAGTTGCATCAGTCATTGGCTGTTATCCGTAGATACAGGTGAAAATAAGTCTGGTTTTCCACTGAGGCCTTGCCCTGACTCTGGCCAGCATCTGAGACCACAAGCCACAAGTGTAAAAAGCCCAGATAGCCCACTGATTCCCCTGTGATACACATCTGACCACCCCCTCAACTAGATAACTTAAACCGTTGTGCTGTTAGAGGTAATAAAAATACACTGTGTTTTCAAAACTGAATGTGGCTCAGCAAACAAGGCCAAGCCTGGAGGTCAGGGCTCACGGGAGGTATTCGCAGCTCTGTTTCTGCCCCTCTGTGTGGCCCTGTCATTTAATCTGCCCCAGTCTCTGCAATGTATGGCTGCAAACACATGCACGATTTGGGAAACGGTATGAGATCCATGCGGGGACTAAAGCAGTGAAGAAGCACTAGACATTTTAATAAGGAGAGGGGTCCATTAAATTCTGGACAGGTGCCTCATGTATGACAGACATGGGATTTTAATATGTAAGAATCTTGCAAGTGAAATCTTAGGGTGCTGACAGCTTAAGGAAGAGTTCTCAGACCTTTCCCAAAGACGTCTCCTCTTCTGAAAAGAGTTTCCCTTGCAACCGCTGCCATGGTACAACAGTAATCACAACCAGCAGCACGCCAACGTAATACAGCTGGCTGCTGAGCTGATCCAAGGAGCACATTTACTGTGCTGAATCAACTCTCTCCGGCCTCTTTCAAAGTCCCCATAAGAGCTTCAGGCGAAGGAAAACACCAACAGCGCATGGTTGCTCGCAATCCACCATACAACTGATGCATCTCTTGTGCAAGATCTGACTGTGGGAGGAAGGCTGAAGCCTGGAGAGGGCTGACTTTGAACCCAAACGGGGCAGCAGCGATGCTGGCAGCAGGGAGCAGTACTGAGAAGGGTGACTGCCTGGGATCTCTAAGTGAGAGGTTTATGCCTTCAAATCAGGAGCACCTCCAGACCCTGCAGCTTCCAATGAAGTCAGCGGGAGATTTGCTGCCACCTGGATGTGTTTGGTACTCCTGGCTTTGGAGGGTGTTAGTTATTCCAGTAAAATGCAATTTTGGAATCAGCCAATACAACCCCTCAGTCTGTGTAGCATCTTCCCCCTTTCTCAGCTGTATTTGCCCTTTCCACAACAGCAAAAAAAAAAAAGTGACAAACCCCACTATCCTCAAATGACAGGACTGTGGAAAAAAAAGGATTTTGTAAAGCAACACAGGCATTTCCAAAGAATACAATTCCTCCTTTGCAGGTGCAAGCAAATTGCATCATGTCTTTACAGTGATCAGCCCAACTCCTCATCACCCAGCTAAGCTGTGGATGAAGTTTAGTTTGAGCCAAAATTTGTCACTGACACCTGAGGCAGCAGCCCAGACATTTTTCTTCAGCTACCACAAATGATCTGTTTACATTGGGGTACTTTCCTGTCACTCAAAAGCTGCACAAAGGCAGCTGGAAGGGATGTACCAATTACTGGGAATAAAACACCCAAAGGATCACTCAGAGCATAGCAGTATCCTCCTGCCCATCCTCAGACTATTCTCCATCCTCCCAGCCCCTCAGCCCTCTTCCAGGCAGAGCTGTGACCGGCTTCTTCACATCCATGGCTAGGAGATGAGTTGGCTTATCTTCAGAGTCTCACTCCAGTCTGCTGCTGGCATGTCTCTTCCCACCCTCTTGCCTCAACATCCAGCTCGTCATTGTTCTTCCACAACACTCACTGGCAGCAGGTGATGTCCAGATCTGTGTGGGCTTTTAGGCTCCAGTCAACACTTGGAATGGATAAGTCTGGAGGGATTGCACTGGGGACAGTGAGGAGGGGCTCAGAGAAGCCCCTCTTGCCCTTTGCAGGCTGCAGATAGCATCCTGCTGTATAATGTAGTATCTGCCTCTGCTTTCTGAAGTCCCATGAGAAGCATTACCGCCTCATCTCACATCTCAACAGTAGAGAACTAGGAATAAAGTTTGGGGCAGTTTGTTTGATTCTTAATTATCAGTAGGGCTACTAGGCCCTTTTAAGCTTTCCCAGTTCAGGACAGGCTGTCCAGCAAGGGGGAGGTATAATTTCTGACACCGCCCCATCCTGCATGGCTGAATAACCTCAGCAGTGAAGGCACAGCAACACGGCCTCCACCTTGTCTCCTCACCACACCCCACACCAGGGTTGCCAGCAGCGGGTCCTCGGTGTTGCTGTTATCCTGTCTAGACTGCGGTTACCCCGGGAAACCTTGGATATGCTGTAGATGCCCGCCGTGGGCACAGGGACACTGGTCAGCCCGCACTGTGCTGTACAAGACTCTCCATAAGGCAATTATGGTGGTTCCCTTTGGCCTTGAAATCTGCAAGGTTGGCTCCCTTCTGGAGTCCTCTTGCATTACTGAGGTTTAATATCCTCCTATGCAGGTAACTTCCACTGTGCCCACAAGAGAGAGCAGTCCGTGTGCCATCTAACTCCAAAGAAGATGCATTAGCTTATTGATCCACAATGAGGAGTGAGATTCACCCCAAAACAGAGCATTTTCATCTCCATTTCTTGCAGAACATGCTATTCTAGAGTAGCATAGCACTGAATCCACCCTGTAGAAGCTGCCAGTCCCAAACATTGTCTTCCTTCATCTAACATCGGTGCTAGGAAGCAAAGTCCTACATTAGTAAAGTCCTACATATCTTCTTTAACAAGGTTTTAAATAAGCTGATACACACAGACACAAACACACACACGCACTTGTTTCATCTCTCTTGATTCCCCTTCATGTGATATTAAGTATTTCTAGCTGGAGGCGAAAGACACTCAGCTCATCAGTTCAGCTCTGTTGAGCAGGTCCTGTGTCTTAGGAAAATGCATTAGCTGAAATACTCAATAAATATTCTCCAAGTAGACCATAAAGCTATTCCAACTGCCTGTGGTGAGCCCAAGGTTGAATACAACCTAATGAAAGGCTACAAGGACACTGGACTCTACTGAGAACATATAGTGGAGTGGCTGCTGGAATAGATGCAACTTTCTCCCTTCCTCACATGCCCTGTAAATCACGTTGCCTTAGTTCTCTGCAAGTGGTGCTCCTCTGCTCTCTCACCTTTTCTACTGCATGCTGAAAGAGCTCAGCTCTGCAAGTAAAATGGTTCTGACA